TAAATTACAGTAGCACACAACATAGAACTTCCTAAGCTAAAGAACTGATGGTGAAGCACATAACAATGTAGGTAGACTCATGCATTTGTATTGGAAATTCCCCTATGCTAATACCTCTTGATTTTTTTACCCCGAGTTGTATCGACTTCTGAGTGTGATGGAACGGGAGATGCATGAGAATGTCAGGGAAATAGTTGGCAGCCATTGCTCCTACATATATTCAGTTGTTTTCTTTACTCACTGTATATGCTTGAAAAATGTTATTTAGTCTGTGTTTGGTATCCCTATAAGTGGGATTCATTTCATTATTAGAAGTATGCACCAGATAATTTGTTCTTAAGTGTTTTGTTTCTTTGACAGTACATCTACAGTATCATACATTTTGGATGAGAGCTTTGTTTTCTTGTCTGCTCTTTGTTCATGATTGTGATTGGTTCTCAGTTTACTGTACCATCCCCCTGTTGAAACAATGACCAATGGATGAGGGTGAGGAAGTCTCTGTCCTGACAATAATGGATCTTTCCGCTAAGGTTTTCAATATATTCATTGATGCCACGAAGATGCTTGATCTTAAGGTTGTCATATCATTAAAATTGGCCACCATTTATTGTAGCTGTCAGAAGTTGCAGGTATTGGTTCCCCTAGCCTAAGCTATGTTGAGATGGGTAGCGGGGAAGGACGAGGAGGTGGAGGAATCTAGAGGCCCTTGATACATGCTAACCACCGTTGCCATATCCGAAGTTCACTGCCTTCTCATTAGATACTTTACATATCATCCTATATCACTCTTTGGTTATTGTTCTTTCAGTATGTCATGTATTTAGGTAGTTAGTCCATGCGCTTGCTGACATGAGGAATAATTATTTCTATATTACATTTTAAACAGATTGAGATCATCGCCTGCATTGATATAGAGCTGTATATTGGCAACAATGTAGTTGTGTGACTAGTGGGAAGTCCTTGGAAAGCCTGGAACGTGACGGGCAGTAGGGCGGGCTGCGCTGGTTGTCTGGAGTATTCATGGGCGAGACAGTCATCCCAGTGGGGGACAACCAAGTGGGGTATCATGGCTGTTGCCGCAGGGCATTATGGGAAATAAAGCATTGAACGCTAGGTCTCTTCTTGGCAACCCTTGCTTGAACATCCCCAGGCCAGACTATTGTCTCATCTCCAGTGTTTGCTGTGGCAACGTGGCAGCCATATTGCCTGCTGCCGCCGCTGCCTCCTCGGTTCAAGGATTGTGATTGGTTTTTGCTGTGGAAGTGTTGGTACCAAGCAGTGTTAGACTGCAGAGCTGTAAGCAGCTTGATTCAGCTTGAGAGACTGCTGTAATGTAGTTGTTGACTGGATGGAGGACGCAACCCAGAAAATAGTTTGCGTGGAGGCCAGCCATGCACGCCAGCGCTCCTGGGCTTCCTTTCTTGTGTTGATTGAATAGCAGCATTGACTGTCAAAAGAAATAGTTGTAGGTAAATTTTGTGAACAGAAGTGATTGTTGCGTGTTATGTGCTTCCTCATAATAGAATGGGGTTACTGGAATACCCGTAAGATGTGCCTAAATTGACCACACGCGTAAACTTGGTGAATACTGTGGAGTGAATACTGTGAACTGTACAAAGAATAGTTTTAGCTAGAGGATTTAAAGTTGAGGTATGTATAACTGTCCATCAGGAGATTCCAGTTAAATGGATTGGTTTTCAAGAATGAAACAAAATAGATTTGTGAGGAATATGTTGCTTACTGTACCTTAGTCTGGGATAAGACAGGTGTGAAGAAAACCATTAAGCAGTGAATTATTAATCACCAGTTTTTCATGGTATTTTGAAGCTGGAAAGGCGAGGAATGTCAAAAATTGCATGCTGTATATGATTAATAGTTTTTCCTTCCGTGGGTAAGAAAAGCAGAACTTTGTGAAATACTTTGAATGGAATTAAGTTTTTCAATTACTTTCCACTGACAAATGGTAGAAACGTTAACTTTTTTTCTCTTGATTGTTTGTATTTCTGTAGTTTAGTTTAGAGTTCCTTATTATCAGGCACATGATACTATGCAGTGTTAGATTGTTTCATATATTTCCTTATAATACATTGCCCATATTCTTCATCTGATTGTGTTGTTAAAATAATGTTTGATATGTACTCTTTAGGGTGTTAAAATAAAATTAGAGGAGATGGGTGGGCATGTAGCACACACGAGTGATAAGAAATGCTTACAGAATTTTATTTGGAGAACTTGAAGGGAAGAAACTGCTTAGGGCCTTTGGCGCAGATGGAAGGATAATATTAAAGTTGATATTAGTAAATAGGTTGTGACATTGTGGTCTGGATTTATTATCTCTGAATAACAAAGAGTGGTTGGCTCTTGTTACCATGATAATGAACTGTTGGGTTCTATAAAAGGCAGAGAATTTATCGACTATGTGAGCTGTCTTAGATTTGAGGTATTTATGTCAGTAAAAATGTCTGTTGTTGTCTTCTGGATTGTGATGCTCTGAGAAATGTTGATAACTACCAATGAGACAACACAGTGTCACAACCCAGAAGACCACAATTAATGACTATTAGCTTCTTAAGAAAGTCTCTGCTCCATTATTTTTTTAGGATTAGGTTGTTTAATTACACCATAACTACTGCTGTAGTTATGTAACATAAAATGGGTGGTGGTTTAATAATTATGAAACATTGCTATGATTTGTTTTATGATGCCATGCCTGATTTTACTTAACAGAGACTACTAAAGAAAAGAGAGTAAAGGCTAACACTCAGTCTGGCTTACTTTTTTTCTTTACAATTTGGGTATTGTTACCACAGCAGCTTCTTATGTGTATGAATAACAAAAACCTAAGGATAATGGTTCTGGCTTGAATTTTAACCATGCCCCTTCTGAATTCAGGGCTGTTGTGCCATCCTGTTGAGTAGGATCATTATGATCATGCATTCAAAGGATAAAGTAGGAAAGCAAGGAACAATCTCAACATTCTGTCAGAATCCTTGTTTAAGACAATATATATCAATCTACAGACCGAATAATGTCAGGTGCGTAACTACGAAGCTAATAAGGTAGAGGGAGTGATGTAATTGATTTTTCTAAAATATGATGTTTATGAATGAATTAAGAAGTTTGACAATAAAGGACAAAGTTTTTTTGTTTGGGTTCCATAACTATGTAAGCACAAGTAACCGAAGCACATTTGAATGTATGAATGTGAACTTTATGCAGATCATATGTATTTGTCATTTGCTTGAGCCATGCATACAAGATATGTGTGTGTTCCTTATAAAATGTACATTTTTCTGACATGATGTGCTAGTATATTTCCAACTAACACTACTACCAGTGTTTTTTTTTCATGCTTTGTCAAGACATGGGATTAAATTAACAACAGTTTTCATCCCTTCGTTGATATTTGAAGGCAGACTGTGAAGTGGGACTCTTTTGTTAAAATTTCAGTGGCAAATGTCTCACACAATAGTAGTAGGAGGGAGCAGGATTGGTCCTGAATAAATTTCCTCCTAATGGAAGTTGAAAACAAGATGGAGGTTCAGAGGGAACAAAGGTAGACCGACATGCCGACTCAGGTTGGCTTGGCAGGTGTGGTCAAGGGGTTGGGGGATACTAACCCAGGAAGCAATTAATTCTGGGGGAAAAAAGAGAGAGGGGAGAGACTGTTTAGAAAGTGTGCTGAAAGCTGGTACTGTTGCTACAGTTTTAGATCCAGTGGATAATGTCTGTAGGAGAGTGTGCATTTGTGCCGCATATGCTTGCAGCCGACTTCCCCTAGTTGTTAATTTGGAGAACAAGACATTTCTGCCAGTATTGGAAACATGACACAGCAGAAACAAATTTAGCTGTACCTCCGATACTGAAACTCCCACCTACCATTTCACATCAATTCATGCCATTTTGTATTTCTATAATTTTTTGTAGATTTTATCTTGAAGATGGAATAAGAGGGCTAAAAAATTTACGTGATCGATTAATTTAACATTGCATTTTAATGACAGTGTTGTTTTGAGACCTGCTCGTTTTTTTTAAAAAAATCTTGTGTTTTATTAATTGCTTCGACATATTTGTATTCCATTGTAAGATAATAGATATGCAACACACATTTTGAAAAGAAGTTGTCTTTATGAAAGAAACTAAAATGTTACATCAGTTTCAAGTGAACATGATCATGTATATCAAATTCTTCAAATAATTGGTAGAGTTGAAAAAGTTACTGTTTAGTCACAGAGTATGTGCTTGCAGTCTTAGTGCTTTGGATCATTGGTTTGAATCTAGAGAGAATTGTAAATATCTTTATAATATTTAAATTTGTTATTTTTAGCATTGTCTTTATAACATTTTTGTGTTTCATATTTTTGCATTAATTTTAATATTGAACTGTCTTAGAGATAGCACAAATGATGATGTAGAAGTCATTCAAAATAAATCCACTCATAAGTAGAAGAGGGAAACAGAATTTTGTCAGCTAAACAGTAGTATATGTTTTTATATAGCCATACAAAGGGTATGGAAATAGAATTGAATTATCTTTTTCTTCTTTTTGTTATGTTGTCTAAAAGTGCTCAGATTCATTTTTCTTCCTGATTGTCTACTACAGTGGTAGCTGTATTCTTGAATGTGTTATTCATTGAAGAAATGGGTCCAGAAATCTGCACAATTCAAGTCATACATTTAATCATAAATTGTAATATGAAATCAAAATGAATAATTAGGAAATTACTAGGTGCTGTTGCATTCAAAAACAATGGTTCATCTTCGTCAGATTTTTGAAATTACATCTTAATAGACGTAATTCACTAGACTTATGAATAGGCACTCATTGCTTCAAGGCTTGTTTCTTTCTTATAGCTTGCAGTGTCAGAAGACTATAATGTAATTTATAAAAGTGTGGGAGAAGGATGAGATTGAAAAATCGTAAAGGAATTTGTAATTTTCTGCCACTAATATCAAAAGTTTTTATTGCCACATTTTTACTTCTTCCTTGTCCATACTAGGTGAATATGTCATCAAAGCTGGCAGTATTGTTGATGAACTGAGCAGTGGTGGCAGTGCTCTAGCTGAAGAAGAACCATCATCTCTCATTGATCTACCAGAGTTTTCTTTGGAAGAAGCATTGCAGCTTGTTGGTTTGGATGAAGATTCCACAGAGGTAGGAAGGATTTCAATTATGAGTTATTATTTATGGAGTGATAGATGGGAAGATCTCTTGAAATGTGATTGGAGTGCTGGAATCCTACCATCATATTTGTAGATCTAGCAGCATTCTTCTGGTTAACAGTTAATTGCTATTTTATTGTATGTAAACAGTTAATTTTATATTTAGTTTATTGCCAATATGTAGCTCAGGATCACTGATATAATGATTATGATGAAGGCATGAAACAATATATTCATGGCAGAAAGGTGTTAACTATTATGTATGGTCAGATCCAATTTTATCTTAAGATAGAACACCACTTGGTTGAACAGTCATACCTTTACAGTATAAAAATTTAATGTAACAAGACAATACTAACGTGAATAATCAGTGACTTTTTATCACACACAGTAGGTGTCACTGTATTGGGTAGTGTATGTGATGGATGAGGAATCATGCAACATTTTGTCAGAAAACTCTATTGAAAGTGTAATTAAATGAATGAAGTTGAAGGAAGATACCACTTGGAAGGTATGGGAATATTTGGGAACAGTAATATTACAGTAAATCTTTAAGATGTAGGTTGTAAGAGTATGATTCATTTGGTTTAAGATAGGACCAGTAATAAGCTGTTGTAAACACAGGAATGAATCTTCATATTTCATGAAAGGAAAGCAATTGGCTGATCTACTGTGCATCTTTTTAAAAGGCTAATTAATTTTGGTTTGGTGAATAGTACTTGGTTAGTTTTTAACCTCTGTGTTTATGTGTTCATGTTTGAGCAGACTAAAAGTATATCAGGCAGATGATGCAGCTTTCAAGATCAAAATTGCATCTTGCACACACATAATATTGCATGTAAATTTTAGGTGCTCATCAGACTTCAATGTGGATTTCAGAGTCAGTGAAAACATAACACTATATCTGACATCTGCATTGGCTTAAGGCTAATTTTTTAGATAAACAAAGCATCACAGCCTCTTAGTACTTTATGTAATGTAGATATGTATTTTAACCTTTGGCTGAATGCTTTCTTTATTTCATATTAAAGATTGTTACAGTTATAAAGTCAGATCATGAAGTGTTAACGTTTCTGTTTGTAAGATGCTGTGCATTTTTGTGTCTTGTTGTGATAGTATTTTTTTTTGGCCCTTTGTGTTTCTCTTTATTTTCTGTTTGTATAAGTATCTCCTTCATATAATCTACTGAAGACAGTATAGACCTTAAGAAGTGCTTAGTGTGCATGTAACAACCCTTACTTATGTAAATATAAATGGGAAGTACTTTTATTTATAATTGTAGTGTTTCCCGTATTACGAAAGGGAGCTCTCACTTTATTGTTCAAGGACTTCGTATTGTTCTCAAGACATTGCCTCTTTTATTGTGCATGTACCATGATTTCATAATTTTTTATATTTTTATTTTGCTTTCCTACTTGCGATAGGCCTATCATGAAATATACATGGATATTCCATGTTGTTTCTGTAAGGTTCCATAAAATGTGTTGCTTTTGAAACTTCAGCATATTTTTTCTATGTTTCTGGAAGTTTAAAATTAGGATATTTTAATCTGATCATGGATGTTTTACAGATAGGCTATTTGCTTGGTAAAATAGGTTTCCACTAACTGTATCTTGCCTTTTGTGTTTGCAAATGCTTATAACTTGTGTAAACTCATTGGTTTTACAAACAGCTTATAAAATTTAAAAATTCTTTACTTTTTTATGTCAGGTGAAACCCATCAAGCAAGATTCTGTACCTGTGCCCCCTTCTGAGCCAGCAGCTTCATCTGCTGTAAAGGATAGTGGCATTGAAGACTTGAAACCAGAGCCAGACGAACTGTTGGATAATTCGGATGAGGAGCTAGGAATTCTGAGCGACATGATTCAGACAGCACAATTTCATCATCCCCACCCTCGGTCCTTCCAGGTAAGATAAAAAATTATTACCAGATTCATGGTGAAGGTGGTGCGAAGTGGGGGCCTTTGTGAAGGACATATGATTTTAGCCTAGGTTATCAAGCACTGGTATTTGCTTGCACTGCACATATAACAACTAGCAACCTGGTATGTTGGGGTGCTAAAGATGCTATATGTGCTTCCCATGTACACTGTACTTTAGCCAATAGCTGTGTTGCTGCGCCTTCTATCTTCCAGACCCAGCAACAACAAGAATACTGCAAAACTAAGTGAAGATAATGTCCATATTGAAACAATCTTTTATATATTATTTTGGGATTCTGAAGGAATTACGTGGTTTTGTTTTAAGAATCCTGTTTGCAAGCCGCATTAATCCATCCTGCCCTGTGTTTCAAATCCAGACATTGATATTTGTAAACACTAATTTGCCCATTTTCTTTAAGTGGTATGAACAACATGACATTGAAGGGCACTTTATCTTGGTACTTTTTAACTCCCTGTTATCAACACTATGAACGCAGCTAATAGTATGCTCACTTAATCAAGAAATTTTCCATCTTTTATGAAATCTGAAGCCTCATCTTCATGTTCACCACTGGTCCTTATCCTGAAATCCACATCCTCTAACCTTGTTTTTCTAATGTTCTTGTAAATATTATCCTTCTATCTATGCACAGGTTTTCTTTGTGGTCTTTTCCATTAATGCTTTCCAACAAATATGTATGCTTTTCTCATCTCCTCCATGCATGCTACATGCCCCACTCATGTCATGTTACTTCATGTGGTGGGAAGAGGGGCTCTGCAATAGGGTTCTTGACAAGAACTGTGTTCTTCATCCAGTTGAACCAATATTTACACACATCTGTCATCACCACTACTACCATTTGTTTAACTTACTTTGTGAAGGGCTTATAGGCCACTGAATCTATCTGTACCCAACTAATTTGTTAGAATCATGGGATCATTAGTGACCCACTGATGTGGCATTCACAAAGAAGCAGCAGATTTTGTATATTTGGGAAGTCACTCTTATTTCATGGTACATATAAGTATTATTGTTACTGCAAGGAATCAGAAAATAAATAGACCCATTTTAGGAATTACAGTATTTCCATAGTAACAGTTGAAGAACATTGCCATTAACCTGTACAAATCTTATATGAAATATTTTTTCAGTCAAGAAAATTGATTGTCCGGCCTAATTTCTTTGAGAGTTTTGTGATTTTACTCAATTCTTCCCTGTGAATGCTTAGATGTTAATCTTAAAATTCTTAAGTTGACCTTTCATACATTTAGTGGCTAATAAAGGAACTAGACATTGCATTTTCTGTGCTACATTTCATCACCATTTTCGTTGCCCTATTTGAAGGATATACGTGTATAGGAAAAACATATATTTGACTACAGTAAAATTAAATGTTCTTGATATTTAGTATGATGGTTTAATGTAAAGTTTATTAAGTTAAGCTTTCTTGGAAAATCAAATTATTTCAAGATATGACATTCACAGAGTTTGAAGCCATGAATATTCCTTAAGTGATCTGTGAGAAGTGAAAGAATGGTAATTGCACTTTCTTCATCTTAATGGGACAGCATGCTAAGCTATATATCAACCAGGGGAATTGATAGATTAACAAAACATAAGTTCCAAAGAAGGATACCAGTAGAAGTGATTTACTTTATGAAGAATTTTATGACCTTTACAGCTTTCATATCTAATAAAAAGTGTGAAGAATTACAGACCCTGTTAAAGATACAATGCTGTACAGAATGAACTGTTAAAAGTTTCATAAATAGAAATTGGTGCAATAATAAACTGAAATAATATTTTTGACTGACTGCAGTTTATGGTTCTTTCAAACAATATTACAGCCTGTATGAACACTGAAGGAAAATATCTGTAGTAGAAGATAACTCACAGATTTTGCCAAGGAACTGACTCTAAATGAGATGATTTATAGACCTTTGTTTGCCTCTGTATGATGTTCAAATATCGTTTTTCATATGCTAGTTGTGGTGGGGATTTACGAAATAAAGCTACAGTCAGTTTTTCTTGTTTAATTTAGGATATTGAAGTTTGGTGTGTTACATGCTATATTTGTGACACTGTACAGAAGAGTAGGTCAGTGGGTCCATTAAGAGGCTGTTGGTTATACCAAATGTGTCCAGTCAGCATTATCTTCATCAGTCTCCAACATACTTTTAGCAAGTACCATTTATACCTCACCTTACTTCCATTTAGCTTTGTCAGTGGTAGACTGATGGGAACTGCTGAATAGAAATGTAAATCATCCGCCCTACTCCCTAACACCCACAGAATGAAATGAATTTTTTTTAAAATATAGGATTTGTTACTAATCAGTTTTGGCTGTAATTCTAGTGTTATAATCATGTGGACTGGTTATAATTAGCATCAGTAACAGGTGTTAACTGGAAGGGATTGTATTGTTTGTAATAATATAATCAGAAAACTGCAAACATTATTTATTTGTTTACAATTAACATTTTCTGTTTGTATTAGTAAATTACCCATCAAGAATGACAGTGGCACTTAGAAATACACTTCTATTGAAAAGTCTTCAAAAACAGAACATAAAAATTAATATCTTTCCTTAGTTAAAGAATATAATATGATTTAATATAGTGTAGATACTTATTTTAAAAAATGTTTACCAACAAGTCAACCAGCTCTTGTCTATTGATATCACAGGTATGTTTTGACAGCTTGTGCCATCATCAGTGTTCTCCTATAGCATAACATGAGATCCAAACCATGGTGAGATTTTGGTAACCCTTAATGACTTAGATTTTGTCAAAGTAAGCAAAGAGGAAGAAATTTAAAATAGCCTGTGCTGGATCCAGTAGGTCATGAACCTTAAACCTTCAGCATGGAAAGCCACCTCTTTATCCCTAGATTATCAGGCAACTTTTAATTTGAATTATATTCTTATAACAAAGTTGTTTGGTTTTAGGGATTGTAATAAAATATCAAGTTTGTGTAACGTCAGTTCTTTAAGATCATGTATGATGATTCAACATTTATGACTTATTGTTTTATTTTTGTACTTTCCCATGACTTACTTGATGATAGACTAAAATTCTGTATGTTTTCTGTGTTTGATTTACTTTCATATAACATAATTTATGCATTAGTATTACTGCATATTAATATTGTGTGGGACATAAATCTCCCACTTGAGTTTAATTTTGACATCCATTAAAGATCTATAATTGGTTGTATTTATTATATAAATACTAAGACAGGAAAGTGATTAAGAGAACTTAACCAAGCAGGAAATATAAACACTTGAATATCAGTTTATAAAAAGTGAGTTTTATTTGTGTTTGTGAGCTCCAGTAACTTTGAATAGTTTAATAGCAGTCTTAGTATTTGATTTGTTCTCAGATAGCCAGACTTCAGTACAAAGTACACATCTGGCACTATCTCATACCTCTTCCAGGCAACAACTGTTTAATTAAGGCTTGTATACTGCACTGCTCTGTGATTAGAACTAGACAGTGACGGGATAGCAGTGTATGTCCTTTTTTCCCATGCATGGACATTAATATGTAAACTTAGTTGTCTTCTGAATTTGCATATTTCTTTACTGCATTGTGGGTTTTGATAAGGTATAGAATGTTGCCAAGAGGGATATAATTGACAGTCAAGAAAAAATTATTTTTTAGGGAAATTCCAGAATATTCTCATGAATTTATATCTCAGTCAGTTGTTATCCCAATGTAGTACTAACTAACTTATTGGCATAGATCTTTATTACCATGTTCATAATAGCCTGTGTCTGGGCTCTGAGGCACTTCAATTTATTCCACATTCTTACACCCTATTTCTTTATACATTTTGATAATATCCTCTTGTCTACACCTAGGTCTTCCAATAGGTCTTTCACCCTCAGATTTTTATATTTTCCTTGTGTGTTATATGTCCCACCCATCTCATCCACCTGGATTTGATCAATCTCACAATATTTTGTTAAGAGAATAAATTTTCAGCCCCCTAATTATGCAGTGATCCCCACCCTCCTTTTATGCTTTCTGTGTTAGGTTCAAATATTGTCAGCACTTTATTATGAACCATCTTAAATCTGTGTTTCTCCCTTAAGGTGAGAAAGTAGGTTTTGCACTTACATAAAAAACAAAATTATAGTTTTGTACATTCAGCCTCGAAGATTCTTTTATAAGAATGGGACAGTGAAGTATTCAGAATTGAATGATAGCAAACAATCCCTGAATTTAATCTGCCCTTCTTTCTAAATCTGTTTATGTTATGGTTTTTGTCCTGCCTTCAGGCAGTTAGACATTAACATATACAGTGTTGATCCCTGATCTGGCGTCCCATAATCCAAAATAACCTAAAATCCTTATTTTATCCTGGTGATCTTTTCAGTGGAATTTTCATATACTTGTTAAGTTTAAAACCAGTGCTTCACAGTTCTTTGATTCACCAGCATGTGCAAGTGGACTGTTGTCAATAGTCTTCTTACTGCTAATAGAAGGCAGTTTGCATGTATTTAGTCAGTGGATGGCATAAGTTGTGGGTTTTTACATATTTTTTAGGTGATGAAGATGATTCCACCCCAGATTTTAGAGTTTTCTTCTGTTTACCATAATAAAAAATTGTGAATTGTAGATAAAGCATGCTTCAAGATTAATTTTTATTATTTATTTGGTCTGAATTGAAGTTTGTCTGCATAAAGATGCAAAATACAGAAAATACAAAAATCTGAAAAGTCTTTGATCACATGCTTTCTGGATAGGGGTCTGGTACTGAACTTCATTTTTCTGTGTTTAATTATAGACCAGCATTGTTACAAGGGTCTAATAGTTTTTCTGTATTTTGAAATATGAAATTATATTTATGTTTTAGCTTAGTTTGCCCTATTAGCTTTATAGGCATACCAAATTTAAGGAACATTTTGCACATACTTCTGTCTTAAATTATAGGCCTAATGAAATTATTGTTGTTCATTAGATGAGTGAAGTATGAAAGTA